GAAGCTGCAGTGTTTAGAGGCTCCTATCAGAAAAAAACCGTAATAAGCGTGTGTGAATCTTTCATCAACAACCAAGGTATCCATGTTCTCTCATCAAAATTGACTAGAAGGCTGGTGTGACCCTTGAGGAGATGGAAGAACAGTGTGGTGTGGCGGCCCACCTGAGAGCCACATGGGGAAGGGGAACCCCCTCACCCCATTCCAAGGGAGGTGGTAAGTGAACACGCTACCTAGCCAGGGAAACTGCTTTTCCACGGAACTGTGAAACCCACAGATTGGAAGATCCCACTTGCGAACCCATGCCACCAGGGCCTCGCATCCCAACCCTGGAACACACAGATTCTTACAGCCTCTCAGCTGGTATCTGCTTAAGCTTACTGAACTCATAGGAGGAGGGGTGACCAGCACCTCCTGCAGCTGCCCGCTATCTAAGCCCTTTAAGGTCCTGGGGATGGGCAGCAGCCAGCACTGGGACTCCCAACTGCCTAATGTGCTAAGCTCCCTGGGCGGGGGAAGGGCAGCACCCATTTCTGTAGCTCCAGGCTACGCTTTTCCCCTGCTAGAGCCAGGGAGGCTGGACAGCTTGGTCCCAAGTCTTGTCTCCACAGCCCAACACACCAGCTGTGGCAGTCTGCGGCCAGAGTGCCTCTTCAGGTCCAACTCCAACCCATCCTTCCTTAGTAGGGGGAGGGGGGGCTCCGCTGCAGGATCTCCAATAGCTCTAACCAGAGGCTCAGGGGCATAATTTGGATCTCCCTGGGCCTGAGCCCCTAGGGGGAGGGGTAGCCACAGTCTCTGCAGACCAGCAGACTTAGCTTTTCCTCCTGGTAGTTCCAAGGAATCCAGGCAGCCCAGACTCTCCGCCAAGGGACAGAGTGCTTCATTAAATGGGTCCTGCTCCCCATGCCACCCAACTGTGTGAAACCTTCCAACAAGGCTTGTCAGATACCCTATACAGAAGTGATCCTACTGGCATCAGGTTGGTGCCCCTCGAGGTCAGAGGTCACAGAAGAAGGAGCAGGCACCAATCTTTGCTGCTCTCCAGCCTCCTTGAATGACACCTTCAGGCACAGGAGCAAATCAGATGAATAAGGCCTGAAGGGAACCCCCAGCAATCTGCAGCAGCCCCTACAGAAGAAGGACCTGACTATCGAAAGAAAAACAATCAGAAAGTGATAAAAGCATCAACAACAAAAATAGCAAAAATGTCCCCACAAAAACCCCATCCAAGGGTCAGCAACCTCAAAGACCAAAACTAGACAAACTCATGAAGATGAGAAAGAATCAAAGAAAAAATGCTGAAAACCCAAAAGGCCAGAGTGCCTCTTCTCCTCCAAATGATCGCAATGTTTGATTGCTCCAAATGATAATAAGCTTTGAAATTGAGGCAGTAATTAATAGCCTACCAACCAAACTAAGCTTCATAAGTGAAGGAGAAATAAAATCCTTTCCAGACAAGCAAATGCTGAGTGATTTTGATACCACCAGGCCTGTCCTGCAATATCTCCTGAAAGAAGCGCTAAATACGGTAAGGAAAAACTAGTATCAGCCACTGCAAAAACACACCGAAATATAAAGACCAATGACACTATGAAAAAACTGCATCAACTAGTGTGCAAAATAACCAGCTAGTGTCATGATGGCAGAATCAAATTCACACATAACAATACAAACCTTAAATGTAAATGGGCTAAATGCCCCAATTAAAAGACACAGACTGGCAAATTGGAGATGGAGTCAACACCCATTGGTGTGCTGTATTAGGAGACCCATCTTACGTGCAAAGACACACACAGGCTTAAAATAAAGGAATGGAGGAAAATTTACCAAGCAAATGGAAAGCAAAAAAATGCAGGGGTTGCAACCCTAGTCTCTGACAAAACAGACTTTAAACCAACAAAAGTAAAAAAGAAGGGCATTACGTAATGGTAAAGGGAACAACTCAACAAGAAGAACTAATTATTCTAAGTATACATGCACCCAATGTAGCAGCACCCAGATTAATAAAACAAGTTCTTAAAGACCTGCAGAGACTTAAACTCCCACACAATAATAGTGGGAGACTTTAACACCCCATATCAGTATTAGACAAAACAATGAGACAGAAAATTAACAAGGATATTCAGGACTCAAACTCACCTCTGGATCAACTGGACCTAGTAGGCATCTACAGAACTCTCTACCTTAACAGAATATATATTCTTCTCAGTGCCACATGACACTTATTCTAAAATCAGCCACACAATTGGAAGTAAAACACTCCTCAGCAAATGCAAAATAACTGAAATAATGACAAACATTCTCTCAGACCACAGTGTGGTCACATTGGAACTCAGGATTAAGACACTCACTCAAAACCACATAATTTCATGAAAATTGAACAGCCTGCCCCTGAATGACTACTGGGTGAATACTGAAATTAAGGCAGAAATCAAGTACTTCTTTGAAACCAATGAGAACAGAGAGACAACATACCAGAATCTCTAGGACACAGCTAAAGCAGTGTTAAGAGGGAAATTTATAGCACTAAATGCCCACATCAGAAAGCTAGAAAGATCTCAAATCAACATCCTAACACCATTAAAAGAGCTAGAGAGTCAAGATCAAATGAATCCAAAAGCTAGTAGAAGATAAGAAATAACTAAGATCAGAGAATAACTGAAGGAGATAGAGACACGAAAAATACTCCAAAAAAATCAATGAATCCAGGAGCTGGTTTTTTGAAACAATTAACAAAATAGATAAACCACTAGCTAGACAAATAAAGAAGAGAGGGAAGAATCAAATAGACACAATAAGAAATGATAAAGGGGATATCACCACTGACCCCACGGAAACACAAACTACCATCAGGGAATACTATAAACACCTCTATGCAAATAGACTAGAAAATCTAGAAGAAATGAATAAATTCTTGCATGCATACACCCTACCAAGACTAAACCAGGAAGAAGTTGAATCCCCGAATAGACCAATAACAAGCTCTGAAATTGAGGCAGTAATTAATAGCCTACCAACCAAAAAAAGCCCAGGACCAAATGGATTCACAGCTGAATTCTACCAGAAATACAAAGAGGAGCTGGTACCATTCCTCCAGAAACGATTCCAAACATTTGAAAAGGAGGGACTCTTCCCTAACTTATGTTATAAAGCCAGCATCATCCCAATACCAAAATCGGGAAGAGACACAGCCAGTATCATACTGAATGGGCAAAAGCTGGAAGCATTCTCTTTGAAAACCAGAACAAGACAAGGATGCCCTTTCTCACCACTCCTATTCAACATAGTATTGGAAGTTCTGGCCAGGGCAATCAGGCGAGAGAAAGAAATAAAGGGTGTTCAAATAGGAAGAGAGGAAGTCAAGTTGTCTCTGTCCGCAGACAACGTGATTTTATATTTAGAAAAACCCATCATCTCAGCCCAAAAACCTCTTGAACTGATAAGCAACTTCAGCAAAGTCTCAGGATACAAAATCAATATGCAAAAATAACAAGCGTTCCTTTAAACCAACAATAGGCAAGCAGAGAGCCAAATCATGAGTGAACTCCTATTCACAATTGCTACAAGCAGAATAAAATACTTAGGAATACAGCTAGCAAGGGATGTGAAGGACCTCTTCAAGGAGAGCTACCAACCATTGCTCAAGGAAATAAGAGAGGACACAAACAAATGGAAAAACATGTTATCCTCATGGCTAGGAAGAATCAATATCATGAAAAGGGCCATATTGCCCAAAGTAATTTATAGATTCAATGCTATCCCCATCAAACTACCATTGATACTCTTCACAGAATGAGAAAAAAAGATTTTAAATTTCATATGGAATCAAAGAAGACCCCGTATAGCCAAGACAATCCCAAGTAAAAAGAACAAAGGTGGAGGCATCACGCTACCTGACTTCAAACTATACTACAAGGTTATGGTAACCAAAACAGCATGGTACGGTACTAAAACAAACATATAGACCAGTGGAGCAGAACAGAGACCTCAGAAATAACACCACACATCTACAACCATCTGCTCTTTGACAGATCTGCCCAAAACAAGCAATGGGAAAAGGAACTCCTATTCAGTAAATGGTGCTGGAAAAACTGGCTAGCCATATGCTGAAAACTGAAACTGGACCCCATCCTTACACCTTATACAAAAATTAACTCAGGATGGATTAGAGACTTACCTGTACACATTTTAATCATTTTCGAGCTCACAATTACAGTTGGTACTTCTCAATTCTCAATGAATTCTGTAGAGAAGTTTGCAGCACCATGCTTTGGAAATGACATTGGTAATTAAAGTTTTGGTCCAAGTTTGATAATGAAGAGTATTTGAAAGGCCAAAACTGATGGATGCTTTTGAGATGAAATGGACATTTGGGAAGAAAATGAGGGCAGGTTGTCTACTTCTTAACATTTATCTTTTTTTTTTTTTTTTTTTTTTTTTTTTTGAAGACAGGGTCTTGCTCTGTTGCCTGGGCTGGTGTACAGTGGCATGATCTCAGGTCACTGCAGCCTCGATCTCTGGGGCTCAAGTGATTCTCCCACCTCAGCCTCCCAAGTAGTTAGGATTACAGACAAATGCTACCATGCCTGGCTAGTTTTGTTTGTTTTTTGTAGAGATGGGGTCTCCCTATGTTGCCCAGGCTTGTCTTGAACTCCTGGTCTCAAATGATTCTTCTGCCTCAGCCTCCCAAAGTGTTGGGATTCAGACATGAGCCACCTTGGATTACAGGCATGAGCCACCATGCCTGGCCTTAACATTTATCTTGACGACAGTGAAATCATTGATGCCAAGTGGGTTCCTTTTTCTAAATGGAAGCACACCGTTTTGGGTATCCATGAACTCATCATAGATATGAAGAGAAAGTTTGAAATGGCCACCAGCTGTCTGTGGTAGCACTTATATTTGTATTACTCATGACCAATGTAGCTTTCAAGTTTATGACACATAGCACCCCCTGAGTTTAACTACTTGGTTGCTAATGTGTTTGGACATCACCATATTTGTTATTTCAGGGTTCCTTTTGCTAATTGCTCTTGTGGGATTTCAGGCTTTCTCCATGTAAGTCTTTTTTTTTTTTTGAAACGGAGTCTCACTCTGTTGCACAGGCTGGAGTGCAGTGGCGCTATCTCGGCTCACTGCAACCTCTGCCTCCCGGGTTAAAGTGATTCTCCTGTCTCAGCTTCCCTATTACGTGGGACTAAAGACATGTGCCACCACGTCCAGCTAATTTTTTGTATTTTTAGTAGAGATGGGGTTTCACCATGTTGGCCAGGATGATCTCAAACTCCTGACCTCAGGTGATCCTCCCACCTCAGCCTCCCAAAGTGCTGGGATTACGTGCCCAGCCAGTGTAAGTCTTTTGAAACACAGACACCTGGTGCCTCTCCCGTGAGTCTTTCAGGGAAAGGTTGAGTTCTGTGTGAGGTTGGAGTTTCTGTTCAAGTGACTAGACTGCTTCCCACCCCTCTTTATTTGAAAAACCAGCATGGTCTTCACTTTTTCCTTGAGCCTACAACAACAGGGTGCCTGTTAATGTGTTTCCAGGACCTTGTGTGGCTCCTTTTCTCTGCTTATTCCAAGAACAGAGCCTTGGGACTGTGCATTTTGAATACAGATGAAGGCGCCTGGAGGAGGTCTCCAGAGTCTCAGCACAGTTGAGGAAACAAGCAAAGCATGCTACATGTGCAGGAAGATCCCTCATTAATTCCTATGATGACCTCTCTGCTTTTTTATTTTAAGTTAAAAGGAGTCAACACCTTGGGTTTTGTTAGACTGGACAAGGTGGCAAGTCATATTAAACTAACCCAGGCTGTTGCTTGAGTTTTCACTGAACTTAGACTCCACTGACAAGTATATTCAAACAGAAACTCCCCACACGAGGTGGCCTGATGGTGCACTCCAGTGGTGGGTGCAGAAGGTTTGGAGGGATCTGCTTCCTGACTGGGGCAAGTTAACCTCTTTCTGCCATAGTTACCTCTTTGCACGTCCTAAGAGCACCTGCTTATCAAATCCTTGGGAGGATTCACTGAATTTGTCCACTTGTAATCCACATGGAAGAATGCGACTCTTGTTATTTTTGCCAGTTTGATTCAACAGATGTTTGTTCCCTGGACTAGTGTTTCTCAGCTGGGGGTGATCAGCATCTAGGGGACATTTGACAAAGTCTGGAGACATTTTGGGTTGTCACAACTTGGGGAGGGAGTTTTACTGGCATGCAGTGAATAGGAGCCAGGTGTATTAATCAGTTTTCTGTTGCTCTAAAGGAATACCTGAGACTGGGTAATTTTTAAGAAAAGAGGTTTATTTGGTACACATTTCTACAGGCTGTTCAAGCATGGTGCTGGCATCTGCTTGGTTTCTTGTGAGGCCTTGCAACTTTTACTCGTGGTGGAAGGCAAAGGGAGAGCAGGTGTGTCATGTGGCAAAAGAGGGAGGAAGAGACAGAGGGAAGGCTAGGCTCTTAAACAACCAGCTCTTGCATGAACTGAGGGAACTCACTCAGTACCAGAGGGTAGGCACCAAGCCATGGTTTCTCCATGAACCAAACACCTCCCACTAGGCCCACCTCCAGCAGTGAGGATTACCCGATTACACTTCAGTGTGAGATTTGGAAAGGACAGACATCCAAACTATATCACCAAAGACGCTGCTAAGCATCCTACAATGCACAGAGCAGCCCCCATATACAGGGTTACCTGGCCCCACAGCGCCAGCAGTGTTGAAGTTAGGCTACCCTGTAGTTCACTTGCTTACTGTGTGTAGGAAGACCAGAGGCCAGGTAAGAAAGCAACAACAACAAGTTCCCCTCGAACCCAAAACCAGAAAACCCCACATAACACAGACGGTTATTTAATTTGCAGGAGGTTGAGTCTCAATCCAATAGAAGACCTTTATTTCCTTGCTAGTTAAAGAGAGGTTTTTCCTGGTTCATTGTCTGTGTTTGTTGCAATTAGTTTTTATTGACCTATAGAAAGGAAGACCTTTCTAGGGTTCATGTGTGTTTCTTGGGTTTGCCATGTTTTATTCTCCAAAGCCCCAGGAGGATTCCCCAGTAATAGAGACTGTGTTAGATTGTTAACATTTTATTTTTTGTTTTGTTTTAAATGATTTCTTTTGATTAATTACAGACTCACACTGCATTACAAACGGTGGTGGCATCTCACAGGACCATAGAGCAGGAAAACCCAGGAAATCCATGTTGGTGCAACACGGTTACCTAGCCTTAGAGCCCTTACTTGGATTTCACCCTTTTTACATGTACTCATTTGTGAATTACATGTTAAAGATGAGAGTCAGTAATATATTTCCAAATGTCAACAGAACATAAATTGAGCAGAAGAATTTATAATGAGACAGAGGACTGAGCAGAACTCATAGCGAGCTAGGGCTAACAACCTGGCAAAGAGCTCCTTGACTGTCTTGGAGGCCAATGTGTGGGAGCGTTGATGACGGCCCCCAGGAAGCCAGATGTTATTGGGAGTTAAAATGATATATGTGTACTGCTCATGCGTATATGGAGCGTGCTGCTTTTGTTTCTGATGCTGAAATAAGACAAATCATTTCCCTTTTGAGCTCCAGGTAGACTGATGGAGAGGGGGAAACAACACCTACTTACTACAACCTGAAATCCTCTGCCTTGGGTCCACTTTCTAAGTTCCTATAGTTCTTATTTTGTAAACTGATAAAACAACTTTTCTCCTTCAAGTCATGATCATCTTGTGTTTTATATTAATTAACCCCATGTAGACCTCATAGACCTCCCTTTGGAATACCTCCTTCTGATCTGCTTGGTCTGTTTGCCAGTTAGTCACCTTACTAGGAGAATCAAAATGTAAATTCATGATAGACAGGAACCCGACATTATCAGCACAGGATGTGGCAGAATGATTTTCCTTTCCCACCTCTCACTGTTAAGGTGATGAGATTGGAAACGGTGAATACCGCAGAGTTCTGTAACTGTGAGTGTGGAGGAAGAGGTGGCAGCCCTTGACCTCAGCAGTGGAGCCACATCATCGAACATTCCCATCCAGGAATCTGGACATGTGCTGGTCAAGAATTCAACGCAGTTGCCTTTGGTTATGGGATTGAGAAGCTCTTGTGAGTGAGGCATGGAGTGAAATCGCAGAAGCCTGTGTGATTTGTAGAAACCGAAGCCAGGCTCGTTTGCTGCCTTGCACAAGGGAGATATGATAAGACCAGGAATTTATTTGTGAGCATCATCAGTGCCAAGGAGCCTGTCCAACATTTATAAAGGCTTTTGGGCTAAATGGAAAAGGGCTTGATCTGTCTGTGGAGACAGAAAGTAGTTGAGTGGTTGCCTAGGACTGGGGTTTTAGGCAGGTAAGAGGTTGTCACTGCTAAAGGGTACAGGGTTAATGGAAATTCTTGAAATTGGTGGTGCTCATGGTGGCTGCACAACTCTGCAGGTACTAAAAGCTGTTGAGTTATACTTGAAATGGGTGAATTGTATGGCATGTGATTTATATCTCAATAAACCTTTCAAAAAAGGGTTCAGGACCACTGTTTTTGTACATGTCCTCAAAATACCTCCTGTACTCTAGTGTGGTCACAGCTGGTTCATGTGCACGGACATAGTGTCAGTGTCATTGTGGAGATAGCAGTTTCAGATTGACTGGTTCCAGAAAATGTGTCCCTGCCTGTTATCTCCACATTGCCACAGCTAGAAACCAAGGGTCCATAACAAGCAGTGAAACTGTGGTTGATATCAGAGGAAGCGGATAGTGTCATCTCTTTTATATTTTTCTCTGTTCTCTCCCTCGCCTCCTTTGCCCACTTCCTTCTCCAAAACAAAACAAAAGAGAGAAAGCAAGAGATAAGTGGCTGAGCTGAATGTGCTCCATCCCTTTGGCAGAGAGTACACATACCGGAGGGAAGATAAGCGAAAATGCAGCCTTTCTCAAGGGCCAGCCTGGATAGAGATAAAGAGAGAGCCACAGGCACACAGGCCAAGCATCAGCTCCTCAAGTATCTATCTCACTATTCAGGGTTGGGGAAATATTTGATACCTCAAGTCCTCTTTATCTTCACTGATGAAACTGACGTAGATGATTTTGGAGCATTTAGGGAGAATGCAAGGGAAACTGACAACACACTTGATGCAGTCGGGTAACCAATCTTTGTGTGGCCCTCCAATGACTCTTTCTTGCTTGGAAATTATTGGAAGTCCATAGTTTTAAGTCATTGAAATGACTGTCCCCTCCATAAAGCATGATGTAGCAAAATGGAAAGCATACTTCTGGTGAAATGTGTTTTTCAAAAAAAGCTTATGACATTGAGGAGGTCATTTCCTATTTCCTGGTATTCAGCAATTTTGCTTTGAGCTTTGTAGAATTGGCCTGGTACTTAGTTCAAATAAGAAAGGAATTACTGAAATTGCACATCATGTTAAAAACCATCAGGGTTTTGAGTCCTGAGACATGTTATCTAAACATCTGTCTTGCTATTTTGTTCCAGCCCAAGGTAGGGACTGTAAAACATCTTCATTATAAACTGAGTGCTATGCAGTTTCTGGGAGAGCAGAAGAAACGTGGTAGGAAGGAACCACCCAGGGTGGGTAATGACAGAGCAGAGATAGTCAGATAGGACCACAGACAAGGCAAGAGGAAGAGCCTGCAGGAACCAGTTTCTTGCACATTTGAGGGCTGGACCTGCCAAGAGGGAAAGGCCAATGTCTTTGTGTGTTCTTTGAGGAAACCTGAGTGGCCTGCCCTGCCTTTCACCCTCTGCTCTTTGACTGTGGATTCCTTCCCATGCACCTGTGCGTTCTCAGTGTTGTGGTCAGATCCTTAAATGGACGCCAAACCCTGACCTCTGAGGCCTGGGCAGGAATGTAACCCAGCCTCAAGGGAAGATAAAGACAGAAAGAATAAGTATTATAGCAGGGACCTTTTTCAGGAATCTGCCTTCTGCAGGGCAATGCTCTAGATGCATTTGAGCCAGCATAGCAAATCCACATCACTAGAAAGACTCTTCCCATTTTACAAGTTGGGAAACCAAGGCCAGGGCTATGATAAGTGTCAGGTCCCCAAACTCTGAACTGCAAATAGAGCTGAATGGTGGCAGGTGGGCCATTGTGATTTTAAATACATGTGCTTTTCAGGGCACCTTCGTGCTTCTCCAGATGCTAGAAGCATTTCCCCAATAATTCATAGCACCATTCAGCCAAGATTCTGCAGTACAGTGCTCTGGGGAGTCCATGAGTGGACGGTCCTGTGGGTAGAAGCCACGAGCTGAAGATAGTTTTACATGTTTAAAGAGTAAAAAAAGAGACAGGGAGTAGTGGCTCATGCCTGTAATCCCAACACTTTGGGAAGCTGAAGTGGGAGGATCACTTGAGCCCAAGGAATTCAAGACCAGCCTAGGCAATATAGGAAAACCTCGTCTCTACAAATAAAATAAAATTAGCTAGGCATGGTGGCAGTGCTCCTGTAGTCCCAACTGCACGGGAGGATTGCTTGAGCCCAGGAGTTCGAGGCTGCAATGAGCCATTTCATGCCACTGCACTCCAGCCTGGGCAACAGAGCCAGATCCTGTCTCAAAAAAAAAAAAAAAAAAAAAAAAGGCAGCACATTGATACATGGAAATGATGTGATATGCAGATAAAGTTTTACTGGAGCTCCACCATGCCCATTCATGGACATGTTTTCTGTGGTTGCATTTTCACCACAAGGGGTGTTGCCACCATTGCAATAGGTAATGTATGTCTAGCAGAGCCTAAGATACTTGCTTTCCTGTCCTCTGCAGAACTAGCATGTAGATCTGAGTGCTTGAAGACACGTACCACCTGAGGTACTTTCACCTCTCCTTAGCCTTCTTCATTTCCATCCTGTTCTCATCTCACCTTGCTTAGAGAAGCCTGGTATTTCACAATTAGAGAGTCATTTACTTGACATGAAGTCTTGTCCCAGTTAAAGTGCCAGTAGCCCTGGGAGAACTAATACATTAAACCGTATCAGTTATTTATACCTCCGGATTGGAAGGGATTGTTGCTGGCTTTGTCCCATAACAGCTGTGACCAGAGGACAGAGCTCAAGGGCTGTTGCATGAAATTAGGAAGGTGTGGGTCACCTCTGTGCAGGGTGAAGGAAGAGAGGAGACTGGGTTATCTGCCTGATGACCTTTATTCATGGCCTTTTCTGCATCCTCCTCTGTCACCCAGAAATTGGGATTGTTGGTGATAAGGGTTACAACGGAGCTCCTCTCTGGGAATTGATGTTGATTTCAGAGTGTCATTTAGCCTGAAGACACTCCTTGCTCCATTATCGTAGAACCAGAGTGGTGGCCACATGTGCAGACTGTCCATGCTGATGCTGATGTGTAAGGCAGGGCCCATAGGTAGGAGGCGGTAGAGCTGGGATTTTACATGGGCAGCCTTCTGCTCCCCTGATGCTTAGCTACATTCTAGTGCCTTGGGTGCAAAGTCAGCTTAACATACATATGAAGGGTGCTGGCCCATTTCCTACCTTTGTGTTTACTATTTTAGATGGTTGTGTCTCCTTGAGCCCAGACTAGGGAGATAACACGAGAAGGAGAAGCCACGTGGTTTCTGTCTCGTCCATGGTACATGGAACATGTTTCCATCAGTAATATTACAGTCGAGACGTGGAATGCCACAATGTACAGTTGCCACCATATGGTATACTACACACACACACATATATATATATGTACTTTATTTTAATTTTTTTTAGAGACAGAGTGTTACTCTGGTGCCTAGGCTGGAGTATGGTGGTGCGATCATAGCTCCCTGCAGCTTCGAACTCTTGGGCTCAAGCGATCCTCTCACCACAGCATCCCAAAGCACTGGGATTACAGCTGTAAGCCACCAAGCCCGGCCTACTTGTACATTTTTCATGGCAAATGTACATTTCAGTTACGTTGTGGGCTTTAAAAAGCCTTTCTAGGCTAGTTGGGAATTTGACCCTGTTTTTTACAGCATAGTTTTTAGGAGAAAAACATTTCTGAGGAAGTAACAAAGGAAGACTTGGGCTGTATCGCATTTGTAATTTAGAGACCACTCTCATTTCAAAATTTCTTCTCTCAGCATGTTTTCGTTTTGAGGCATGAAGTCGGCAGGCAGTGAGTGTCTTTTTTACAGTGACTCTGGTGTCTTTGGGAAGCGGCTTCCTTCATTTGCCTTTCCACATTTTCTTTCTTGACTTCTCCAGGCATTCAGCTGCAGGCATATACCTCTGCTGCTGGGGGAGTGGCAAGGAGTGGGGGTTGGAGGAGCGGGGATAAAAATTAGCTAGAATTCAGAAACAGGAGTGACAGCGCAGATGATTTTCATGCTAACCTACTTTAAAAGCTGCCAGAACAATTGTGGAATAGGAAATCTCTCATTTCTCCTGCCCTACTCTGACAAGATCTAAAAATAACTTCGAAGAGATGGGCATGTGGCCCTTTGATCTCCTTGGCCTGGAGTATTTCTTGGTAGGAGCAGAGCTTACGGGAAGGTGTTCTTCAGCCAGGGAAGGTGTTCTTCAGCCAGCGTTCTGGCAGTCGGAGTTGTGGGTGGGGCTGATTACTGTAATCTTCCTTCGCCATTGAATGATTTCATCTGCCCCTGGTTTCCGTTACTTGCTGCTCTAAATATTCTTCTCCCTATACCTTCCTTTTATGTAGCTACAAACTGGAATATGTGCATGGAAGACCCAAAGGAGACAAATCACACTTGGACTCCAGAACCTTGGTGCTGGATTTAGCGGCTATTTACCAAGTACGTCCTCTGCCAGAATAAGTAGCACAGATCTTTGACCCCCAGAGGGACTGTGGTCTAATTGGAAGACACAAGGCAGAGGTGTAAAAAGGGAGCTCTGGAGATAGGAATTTGAAATGGGGCTGAGAGCTGATAAAATGGCCTGGCACTAGAGGCCAGGGAGATGGGAGGAGGAGGAGTTCCTAGGAAGGGTGTCCCCTGAGATTCTGAAGAGTGAGCAGAGATTGACAGGAGAGGTGAGAGTAGGCCTAGAGTTATCAGGGCTGCAGAGGTGGCCTTGGCACGTAGAGGCCATCGTATCCATGTTGGCTTCCAGTATAGGGGCAGTGCATCTGCGGCTGAAGATGGAATAAATGGGATAGTGGCTAAAAAGATAGGGGTATTGGGGGACGCTTGTCCTTGGAGAGGTCCTCCTTGCAGATAAGGGGAAAAGTAGAACAGTACTTGACGGGGAGGCTGGTGTCGGGGAAGGATTTTTTTTTACACCAGGGGAGACTTGTGGGTGAGTTAAACAGGTTCTAGAGGGCCAGGTATGGTGGCTCATGCCTGTAATCCCAGCATTTTGGGAGGCCAAGTCAAGAAGATTGCTTGAGCCCAGGAGTTGGAGGCCAGCCTGGGTAGCAGCAGCGTAGAGAGACCCTGTTTTTACAAAAAGTACAAATATTTGCTGGACATGGTAACATGCACCTGTAATTCCAGCTACTTGGGAGGCTGAGGTGGGAGGGTTACTTGACCCCAGGAGTTGGAAGATGCAATGAGCTGAAATTGTGCCACTGCCCATCAGCCTGGGTGACAGAAGGAGACCCTGTTTCTAAAGGGAACAAAAAAGAGGTTCAAGAGATAAGATAAAGAATGGGGAGAGGGGACATATTTTTTGCAGGAGGGAAGTTTTGAGGGTTCAGTCTTAGAAAAGGAGCAGTAGAGACAGATGGGAAGGTCGTAAATGTGGAACCTTTGGAAGCAGAAAGGAAGATGATTTCTCTTAAAAGTTTTGCCTAGAGATGACTAATGTAAAGGACTTTAGTGTTCTAAGGGAGAAGGGAAAGCCAGACGTGGTGGGTCCAGTGGATGCAGGAACCGACCCAGGCTTTCAGATTGTACATTAGGGAGCAAAGAATACGTGCTTGGGGGTGGGGAGGTGGCTGGCCAGGGCCAACCTCCCTCCTCCCATGACCCCTACGTAGAATCAGAGTTGCCTCATTTAGTGCACCTGAGTCAAGGCCTTTGGTTTAAGAGCGTATCTGACCTCATTAAAGTCATTGCTTGGTATCCTTAGGGGATTGGTTCCAGGACCTCCTGTGGAAACCCAAATGTTTGCACAATCAAATCCTACAGACCACCCTGCAAAACCCACTGATAGGAAAAGTTGGACCTCTGTGTCTGTGGGTTTTGCATCCCATGGATACCGTATTTTCCATCCGAATTTGGTTGTAAATGCAGAACCTGCCCATAAGGAGGGCCGATTGTATTTATTGAAAAAAATCTGTATTGTTCAAGGGTCGGTTATAGTTTGAACTACAAAAAGCAAGCAACCAAACAAAAACCCCGGAAACAAAAGCTTGAAAAACCAGTGGACTAGAGCATAAGTCAGAGTAGACTAAAAAGGACTACCTCCCCAGTGGAACTTTCTGTGTAGTCTGGTAGCCATATCTGGCTGTGAAGCACCTAAAATGTGGCTCATGCAACAGAGGAATTGAATTTTAAATTTTATTCCTCTTAAATATATATTTTTGTCTTTCTTCTTTTTTGTTTTTTTTTTTTTCCCCGAGATAGCGTCTCACTCTGTCACCCAGGCTGGAGTGCAGGCTTGCGATCACAGCTCACTGCAGCCTTGACCTCTTGGGCTCAAGCGATCCTCCCACGTAGCTGGGGCCACAGGCATGAGCTACCATGCCCGGCTCATTTTTTTAACTTTTGTAGAGATGGAGTCTCACCATGTTGTCCAGGCTGGTCTCAAAACACTTGGTCTCAAGCAATGCTTCCACCTCGGCCTCCCAAAGTGCTAGGATTACAGGCGTTGAGCCACAGTGCCCAGGCTAAATATGTATTTCAGTAGCTCCATGTGGGGAGGTGTCTTGGACAGAACAGGTTAGCCCACGAAACTCTCTGGGCTCTGAATGAGAGGGAAGGATGAGAGTTCACAGATGATCCCAGCGGGTTGGTTCTGGAAGTGAAACCTGCAAGTACTCTGGCTTGGGGAAGGCTGACCATGGCAGGTGGGAGGAGCTCTCTGAAGGCCAGGGCCTGGCCGAGGAGAACAGGGCCAGTGCTCACGTCTCCCACACCCTAGAGACGTGCTGGTGTGTGGTATGCTGGCTTCCAGCCTTGTGAGTTTCTCCTTATGACTGTAAATGCCAGGAGGGTTGGGACTGTGTGATTTTTCTTCTTGCTTGGATTCAGACCTGCAGCTGCTCGAGAGTTCTTTGCTAATTAGTGAAGGAAAGCTGGCTTGAAGGAGAAGCAGTTGAAGTGGAATTCATTGTCCCCGCTTCTCTGCAGCAGGAATGCCTTGTCCCTTCTGCCTTGGTTGAACTCATTTTCTCAGGCTCCCACCTTTGAATGGAGGCTCTTATCGGGCTCTCCATCTCCAGCGGGTCTGTTGACATTTCCCCATGGGAAAGGAAAAGACCATCTGAAAGTTTCCATCTGTGTGCAAGGTTTTCTGAACATGTGGACCACGTGGGTTTAATTTTGTGAGGTCAGCAAGAGTTCTTGTGGTTTGGGATTGAGTAAAAACTGTAGGCTTTGTATGGGAAGAAAATCTCTCTCACCTCTGTCTTCTATTCGTCACTCTCTACACAGACTCTCCACTTGCTTTAGTGCTAAAAACACAAACAAAGCATTATGTTGAAAAAAAACCCAAACCCCAAGTCCAGTAGCTGATTGCCCTGCTGTGGCTTTTCTACCCTCGTCGTCATTCTTCAAAGAAAGACTTCACTCCTCTCAGCTGTCACCCTTTCACCTTTCACTGCACGCTGTCTGGCCTCTGCCCCCACTTGAAAGAAGCACTCTTCCCAGGGTACTTGGGAACTTGGAACTGTGAGCCCCCAGAGTCTGCCCAGCCCCTCTGTCCCTGCCTTTCAAGCAACAGCTACTGCTGCTGTGACCTGGGGTGCCCCTTTCCCTGGGCAGCATTACCCACACCGGGCCACATTGGGCCATGTCACCGATACTGGGCCAGGTCACCCACACTGGACCATATGAGGGAATGCCACCCACACTGGGTCATGTCACCTACCCCAGGCCACACTGGTCCATGTCACCTACATTTGGCAGGGTCCTGTCTGTCTTCACTCTGGTGCCACCTTTATCCTGATGTTCAAGACTCTCAAAACACTAGAGGCTCAGCAGCCAGTGTGGGGGCTGAGACCTTCAGCGAGGTGCCCTAACCCCACCCGTGAGGGGAAGTAAGTGCTAACTCCTTGTGCCTGAGGCTCAAAGGGCTGGGCCCCTTTATTGGTCCCTGTGCCTGACACCAGTGTCCTTTATTCTTCCTTTTAAATATATATTTTTGTCTTTCTTCTTCTTTTTTTTTTTTTTTCTCTGAAATGGAGTTTCTTTCTGTTGCCCTGGCTAGAGTGCAGCGTTGCGATCACGGCTCACTGTAGCCTTGACCTCTTGGGCTCAAGCGATCCTCCCACTTCAACCTCCCAAGTAGCCGGGGCCACAGGCATGAATTACCATGCCCGGCTCATTTTTTATCTTTTGTAGAGACGGGGTCTCTCCGTGTTGCCCAGGCTGGTCTGAAACTCTTGGTCTCAAGCAGTGCTTCCACCTTGGCCTTTCAAAGTGCTGGGATTACAGGTGTGAGCCACCGTACCTGGCCCATTTTAACTATTTTTAAGTGTTCAGTTCAGTAACAGCAAGTACATTCACACAGTTGTGCAGCCAACCTCCAGAACTCTTTTGTTTTGTAGTCTTGAAACTCCATACCTTACTACCCACTCATTCCCCCTTTCCTGGCCCCTAGCACCCACCATTGGCTTTCTGTCTCTGTGTGCTTCACGGCTCTGGGACCTCAGGTAAGTGGAATCCTACAGTATTTGTCTTTTTGTGACTGGCTTATTTCACTCAGTGTAGTGTCCTCCAGGTTCATCCACATGGTAGCATGTGTCAGAATATCTTTCCTTTTTAAGGCTGAGTGCTGTTCCATTGTATGGATAGGTCACTTTATTCCTCCGTAGATGGATACCTGCATTGCTTCCACCTTTTGACCGTTATGAATAATGCTGCTACAAACTTGCCTGCACAAACATTTCCTTAAGTTCCTGCTTTCAGTTCTTTGTTGTGTACTTTCTAAACCTTTTTTTTTTCACCTTTTATTTTGAGACAGGGTTTCACTCTGTACCCCAAGCTGAAGTGCAGTGGACTCCAGCTTGACTTGCCATAGCCTTGATCTCCTGGGCTCAAAGAATCCTCCTGCCTTAGTCCACCAAGTAGCTTGGACTATAAGCACATGCCACCATGCCCAGCTAATTTTTGTATTTTTGGTAGAGATGAGGTCTTGGTATGTTGCTCAGGCTGGTCTTGAACTCCGGGACTCCAGTGATCATCCAGTTTGGGTTGGCTGTTAGAGTCCATTAGAATATTCCAGAGGGATGATGATTCCTTGGACCAGGGAGTGGTCCAGTAGCTGGAGAGATGGGAGTCAGTTACAGTCAAGACAGTGGGATTTATTGCCATTCTTGATCTCCCTCAATGGTGAGAAATTTCCTCTTTCTACACAACTTCCGTGGAAACCCAGAACACCATGGGTCCCCCACAGGCAGTCTTAAGAGGATAGCTGTTTTTGTTCTCCTTCCAAATTCCCATTGGACTTGAGGTCAGAGTCTCACTTTGTTTTGAATATTTGAAGTATTATACCTAATACCTGAATAGACTATATGCTTTTATTTTTCTTTTTTGATACCGCATTTCTAGATATATGGACAAATTTCTCAGTGAGAGAAGTGAACACATAACTCTAACGTGCAATAGCAAATGCTGCAGGAGCACTGGGAGCCCAGATTCCCGCGTTAAGATGTTATTAGACCTTCCCTGGAGCATCCAAATGGTCTATAATTGCTTAATAAGGAGACGTTTTTGCTGAGATTTACATGATAGAGATTTGCTTTTTAAAAAGAAATTATCCATATTTGAATGGAAAAATTGCATAGTCTCCTGAGTATTGTTTTGCCTTTGACTCTGTACTGTTTAAGAACTGATTATGAGCAGGAGGAAATAACTCACTTCAGCTGTAATATAAATGTGCATTGGTATTTAAGCATATGTGACACATAAAACAATACCAATTTGGCCAGCATTTAAATGTTTATGTAAATTACATTGTTGGACAGGCACTTTGCTCTCTGTATCTTGCAGAGTAAATAATTTTTTCCCAAAGAGATTTTGTGTTTAAAAGTCCTTAATACTACTACTATTAGGAGTGTTAGATGCCTGAGATGTAGTTTTCCTCTTTTTGCCTGAAAGGCATCTAGTGGTATTCTTGTGTCTGGAACATTCTTGCCTCACTTTTGTTTCTAGTCCTGGTTCTTCCTGTGTCAGAAATAAGACTAATGGGTGCAGCCGCACCTGTAGTTCAAGATGAAGGTGTGTGTGTGTGTGTGTGTGTGTGTGTGTGTGTGTGTGTGAGAGAGAGAGAGAGAGAGAGAGAGACAGAAAGAGACAGAGAGAAAGAGAAAAAGAAAAAATACAGCCTCTTTGTAATACCCAGTTGACTCAGTGAAGTCTGTCTGGCTCTCTGAGCTTTACTGAATTCCTTCTTACTTATTTTGAGGCCGGAGGTGGAGATGAGTTCAAAAGCAGATACAATTTGCCTGTCGCCTAAATGAGCAGAGTAGATTGCACATAATCTTTTCTAGATGAAGCCTGTGTTTTTGGCATTCTGTTCTCGAGTCCTCTCTGAGCTGATTTGAGAGTGAACCGGAGTGTTAAGTTGAGAGAGATGTTGATGACTCTGGTGTGGTCTTTTCCTTTCGGGGAAATGGAGATGAAGCGACTTGCCCGGGGTCCCCGGGAGGCAGAGTTTGTGCCAACATGTAATTTTCCGATTCTAAGCTCTGTGGTCTTCAACAGCAAGGTGGGTACCCTTTTTCTGTAAGGGACCAGAGAGTACAGATTTTAGGCTTTTGGGACCAGACGGTCTCTGCAACTAACTACTCACCTCTGCAGCTCAGCCACATGGTGAGAAAGCAGCCCTGTACATTGCATAAATAAACAAACGTGGCTGTATTCCAATAAAATTCCATTTATGTCCACTGACTTTTGAATTTCATAGAATATCCTATAAGCACATGTCAGCAGCCTCCTCTGCGCAGGCCCATGCTTGGAGGTAGTCGTGCTGGGGAGAGTTGCTTTCTGCCATCCTGGAGTTGATAGGCTTGTAGGGAGGCAGATACTAGAAAGCAGCCACAAACGCACTGTCACGGGAATTGTGATGGGGAGCAGTCCTCCCCTGTGCATTTAGAAAGGCCCCGCCGCATGGAACCATTGGGATGCCGAGGCTTGGACATTGCGTGGGATTTGAGACGAGCCAGGCATGGGCAAGGAGACGGGGCCGTGGATCACACAGGGGAAAAGAGGTCCTGACCTGTTCACCCCCAGCCCCTTGCTTCCCTTGCCCGCTGGTGTTAGGAGGACCCAGAGAGGCCGGAGTGGGAGGAGTGACTGTAGCTGCAGCTCAGAGCAGCATCTCAGGAGAAGCCAGCTGTCTCTACTCACATCATAGGAGTTTATTTCCAGTGTAGGAGAGGAACTATTGATGGAGAAGGACAAGAGGCACGTTTGCCCTGCAGAT